GGGGTGGGGATGCGCCTTGGTAAGAAGAGCGGCTGGCTGAGTCTGGGAACTAAGACCAGAAAGGGAGCGAGCAGATGGCCTTCCCAGGGCTGCAGGGTTACAAGGCAAATCACATTCTATGGCTGGTCCTGGTGGGACAAGAAGACCTTGGACCTTGTTGGAGGCCAGGGTGGGTTCACTATACATGTGAATGGAATGAGCTTCAGGAGTCACTTGTGGACAGGCTGAGGTGCAGGAGACGCTGCTGCCAGACCAGAACTCCCACCAGAGAGAGCTCCCTTTTGGAAGACACCTCTGTCCTCAGGGAAGACCCCTTAACCTGGGAGAACTGCATAGATGCTATGGTGCTCTGGGGGCATTACAAGCAGCGGTGTGCTGGTAAACTGGCTCTCTGAGAAACGAATACAGAAAGGAAGAGAAAAGCCCTGGGGTTGAAGGGTTTGCAGATTTCTGTGGCATAAATCTGCCAACCCTGGGCAATTACCAACTGGCTTGTAAAATTCCTAAATCTCTTTCTGGCCTGTGGGAGCTGATCCCAGCTACCACAGAAACCTGCTGCTCCAGTTTTGGCAGCAGGTTGTTGATGTAATGACTGGGCCTTAGGGCTTTGTATCCTGAAAGGAGAAAATTCACCGCCCACTTGACAGTGAGATGAGAGGCTTCACTTCCTACTTGAAAATGAGAACATTCCTATAGGGACTCAAGCTGTTAGGAGAGCTACTTCCTAAAGCCAGCTCTAATTCCACTGTTACAATCACAGCATGGGGTTAATGAGAACGTAACTGCTGATTAGAAATCAGAAAGAAATGTACTATAGGAATTACACACATATATGTTACACTTATAAGGAGCTCTGGTAGCGTAGTGGTTAGGAATCAGACTGCGAACTGCAAGGTCAGCAGTTTGAAACTACCAGCTGCTCCCATAAAGATTTACAGCCTTGGAAACCCTGTTTAGGGTCTCTATGGGTCGGAACTGACTCGACAGCACTTAACAACAACATTTTACATTTACACAGACTGGAAGGAAATGGAGAAAAATGTTAGTCGTAGTGAGATTTCCCTGTTAGGGTATTCTGTGTCTTCAAGATCACCTGGGAAAAAAAACTTTTTAAAAAGAGATGATGCCACGTAGCACACTAACATAAATGATATTTCCAATCTCCACAAATACACATGATTTCTTTGAAATCTATACTATCAGCCTTTGTTCGAATTAGATTTAAACTCTCCACTGTGGTAATGGTTATGTGCAGTGGAGTCGGTTCCAACCCAGTACAGGGTTTTCGAGGCTGTAAATCTTTATGGGAGCAGAAAGCCTCATCTTTGTCCCACAGAACCACTGGGAGTTTCAACCTTGAGGTTAGCAGTCTGACTTGTAACCACTACACCACTCCTTAAAGTCTTTATATAACTTCTCAAAAGATCTGAAGTTTTCTGAGAAATCCCCCAAACCAAAGCTTTAATTGGCTTAATTTAGCCACTTGGGTTGACTCCTGTGTGTTCCAGAAGAGGAGAAGCTCTAAGGCCTCCAGGTGCCTCCACCTGCTCACCTGAGCGGCTCCTCTTCCAATTCTCCATCCAGGTACTTCTTGTACGAAGCGTTGAAGATGGCAGCCTGCTGCTCCCACTGACTGTCCTTGATGAAGTGGTTCTGCCCGGAGCCAAGCCCGTAGCAGTCCTCCATCTTGGCAAACACTTCCAGGGGGCTTTTAAATGTGGTGCCTGGTTTGACAATATTCCCAGAATTAGTCAAGACTTCCCTCTTGTCCATTTCCCCTGACTTCTACCATGCTTCCTGGTTTCCTGCAGAGCCCACCAGGCTTGCTGAGCACATAGTCTGTGACCCCAGGTGCACAGACTTCTCCCCTGTCCCTGTCACTCACAGAGCCCAAGCAGAGTAGCTGCTCGCCACCCTTCTGCCTCTACGTCTCCATCCCCCAGCAGTTGCTCGGCTTCTAGATTGTAGAAGCTGCAAAGGAGGCCAAGGAAATGTCTGTGATGTTACTAGCAAACTTAGAACACTGTTGTCACCTCCCCAGCTAAGCGAGGTACAAAATCGTCCAGTTAACCCTCATTGCTCAGCTGCTGCTGCAGACTCACATAATTCGGAGTCCTGGTGTTGAGCTGTAGGATAAGCATTAGACTGTTAAACACAAGGTAGGCGGTTCAAGCCCACCAATTGTTCCTCAGAAACTCCATACAGAGTTGCTATGAGTCAGAACCAACTTAACAGAACTTAACAATGGAGTCTTGGTGTGGATCTGTAGGCTAAGCACTGTACTGCTAATCACAGGATTGGTCGTTCAAATCTACCAGCCATTCCTTGGAAACCCTATGCAGGATGGCTATGAGTCAGAACCGACTTGACAGCCCGTGGTAACAACTGTCTTCCCATCCTTGTGTTTATTCCTTTCACAAAACCTCCTTTCCCTGACGATCATTTCTCTCATCCCTCCCCTTTCCCCAAATCCTTTCATTTCTTTTCTTGTTCATCAGTTGTTAAATCCACAGTAGAACTGCGCCCACACTCCAAGTCTCAGAACGCTGCTCTGTTTGGCAGGTGCTGAGGTCTCTCTCTCAAATTGCCCAGAAGTCTCACAGTGCCCAGACCCCTACCAAGGAAAAACCACTGTTTACAGCATCTTGCATAAATCTCCGGAGGGAGACATCTCTTGATCAACTAATGTAGTTTGTTCATTTTCATTGTTGTTTAGTATCCTATTGCATGACTATACTATAATTTATGAATATGTACTATTGTTGAGGGACTTTCGGTGGTTTCAGGGTTAGAGCTTTAAAAATAATGCCACTTTTAATATTCTGGTACATAGCTCCTAGTTCACAGGTTTATTTGCAAACCTACTGGGTGTAGACCTAGAAGTAGGGTAGACAACTTGTCCTCATTTGCTCAGAATTTTCCTAGTTTTAGCAGCGAAAGCGGCTCATTTCAGAAAAACCTTTAGTCTAGGCACATTGATATGGTTGGGCACCCTACCTAGGAATATAAGTGCTGGGTCACAAAATAGAACTTATCTTCAACTGTATTCGACAATATCAAATTTGTAAAGTGGTTGTACCAACTTACACTGCTAGCCACAATATGGGAGTTCCAATTGATCCACATCTTCATCAATACATCATATGGGAGCACTTTAAATTTCAGCCACTCTGGTGTAAAAGCCATCATTGTGCTTTTAATTTGTATTTTCCAGATGACAATTACGTTGAACACCTTTTATATGTTTATTGTTCATTTGAATGTCCTATTTTATGAATGGCTTGTATAATAGTCTTCCCTGTTTTGGTACTGGATTCTATCTTTTTCTTAATTTGTAGAAGTTCTTTATATATTGTGGCCATGGACCACTGTGGTACTGTAGGATAAGCACTTGACCTCAAGGTCAGTTTGATCTGCAAGGTCGGTGGTTCAAACTCACCAGCCGTTTCTCAGAAACCCTATACAGGGTAGCTATGAGTCAGAACTGACAAGGCACACAACAACAATGGACCACTAGTAAGTTATGTATTTTGCAATAATCTTTTCCCACTCTGTGGCTTGCCCTTTCATGATTTTAATGATGTCTTTGGCTGACTAAAAGTTCTTAGTTTTATGAAAATTTTCTTTTTAGTACTTTTTCTACCCAGAGGTCATGAAAGTAGGTTGTTATTTTCTTCTAAATTGTTTCGTTTTTGCCGTTCATACGTATTTCCCGAATTCATCTGTAATTTACTTTTGTGCATATCCCTATAAGGTAGGGATCAAGTTTAATCTTTTCTTCCATGTAGACAGCCACTTATTAAAGTGACCATCAATTTCCCCTGTTGTGTCGTGCCACCTCTGTTATTACCAAGTGTCCCTTCATACAATGGGCTATCCTGTTCATTCATCTATTTTTATATCTTATTACCATGTTGCTGAGTGCAATGGAGTCGGTTCTGACTCAGAGTGACCCTGTATAGGGTTTCCGAGGAACGGCTGGTGAGCTGGAACCACCGACCTTGAGGTTCAAACTGCCATTGTGGTCTAGCTCATTAATGCACAGCACCACACCAGGGCTCCTCATCTTCTGTAGTGCAGGTGAAATGTCTTACTCACCTTTTACTTGGTTCATTATTGTTGATAAGTTCCATCAAGTTGGTCCCAACTCACAGTGACCTGCTGTCCAACAGAATGAAACACTGTCCAGCCTTGTTGTTAAGTTCCATCAAGCTGGTCCCAACTCACAG